TTAAGACCCTTAACTAGAGCAGTAGAAGTAAAAGAAGAATTTTTGGCTTGGAGAAAGGTGTAAATGCTAAGTGGATTCAGTGTTCTAATGGTTGTTGTCTTAGTTCATGCTATAACAAAATACCTTAGACTGGGTAATTTAAACAACACAAATATACCACTCACAGCCTGAAAGCTGGGAAGTCCAAGATCAAGCTGCTCGCAGATTCAATTTCTGGCGAGGGCACATCCCTCATAGATGGCCTCCTATGTCACCTCACATGGAGGAAGGGCAAAAGGCTAACAAGCTTTCTCAGTCCTCTTTTATAAGAACATTATCTTTTATAAAAACAAAAGGGGCCAAGGCCCTCATGACCTAATCACCTCCCGAAGACCCTATTCCTAATACCAATACACTGGATTTGATTTCAACATATGAATTTTGGAAAACACAAACATTCAGACCATTGCAGTTGTAGAGGCTAAGAAAAAGAGTTTAAAATTACCTCTGGATTTTTGGTATGGCACCTGGATGGTGGTACACATCTATGATTCACTCCCCCAAATCCCTGCAGCAAAATGTGTTTCAAAATTCAGGATTTGACAGCCTGTAGTCTCAGCTACTTGGAAGGCTGACATGGAAGGATCACTTGAGCCCAGGAGTTCAAGATCAGCCTGGGCAACATAGTGAGACTTTGTCTCATTAAAAAATCAGATTTTTTTGGATATTAGAAAGGTGATATGGTTTCCATACCCAATGTAAGAGTGTACCCCAGCAGGGCCTGGGGCAGTATTATGTAATCAAACAGCACTATTTCTGCAGCTGGACATAATCCACTAAGTTGGATACACAATCGCAATAGCCTCCTGACAGTTCACTCAGGCTTTGCCCCAATTGAGTTCAGGTTTTGCTAACAAATGAGTTAAATTTTGTTTTGCTTTGTTTTCAGAGGCTGATTTTGGAATTACAGATAAGAAATGGTACAATGTACTGCTATCTATAGATAGAATACAGAAAGTGAGCAGGTTGTTTGTTCATTTGTTTGTTTTTTGATGAGATGAAGGTTCTGGTTTGAACATATATAATCTCTGGTGATGAAGAAATGTTAAAGATGTCCAAGAGACAATTATATAGAAAAGAAAATTAGTTTGGACAGTTTGAAACTGGAACAATTATAGGGAAAAGGTTTACTTGGGGGAATATTCTCTATTCAGTGCCAAAAATAAGAGCCCAACTCTGAGAATGACCCAAGGAAATGTCACATAATTGTCAGCAGTCTCTAATGACCTAGAATTCAGAGTCCTACTTGTCTTTGCTTTTCAATAAGTGAATGTACTTTCGTCTCCTGCCACTGCTGGAATTGATCTGAATTCAGTTTTCCCCCTGAGTGTACATGAGTTGTGTTAAATTTTACCCAAATTACATAGTATGAATTATTTTGATACTAACTAGATGCATAATTGAACAGGTAATTGAAAATACCTTCCTATTCAATAGGATTTTATATCCATAAAGTATCCATCATTCCAAATGTATTTTTACACTTGATGGACTAGAGAACTGAATACATGTGAAGATGATTCTGGCACTGATCGTTTCCAAAATCCTAAATATGATAATATTTTCCTTAGGAGAAATATTTCACTCACCAAGAATGTAAAGGCAGGTTAAAATTGAAAGTGTCTACAGAAGGCTTAATTATCCAATCAGAGCTTCCAAGACTACATTCCTACAAATCATTTAGGGATCTCTTTTAATCTCCCAATGTAGTCTTTTGGTGGAGAGGGGAAGTATAATTCCTATAATTTGTCTCTTATACTTGTTTCATAGTAAAAGAGAAAAGTATTAAATATTAACAGAATATAAACCAAATAATAAACTGGCTATGTTTTCTCTAATAAATTTTTTAGACTCCACCCAGGACTCTAACTCAGTCATAAAACTTTAAGAGTTCAGAACAGAGCTGGACAGAATGTTTCTCCCTCAAAATTTCACTTAATTCTTACCATCAAAATCCCCTCAGAAAAAAATATTTCTAGTTTTTCCTGTTCCCAAATACACTACAGCATGATGAGAACCCATTCAACACAAAATATGTATAATGAACAAGGCTTCATACGTTCTTAAGATTTTAAAGGCTTAATCTAGCACCAAGGTCCTGGAGCCTCAAGCCCTACAATACATGTTTAATTAGGGTTACAGTACAGTTTTTAAGAAATAATTTATTTTCTTTCATGTGAGTGAGGATGTGCCTGTGTGTGTGTGTGTGTATGTGTGTGTGCATGTGCATGTATGACACAGAGAAAAAGAAAGCTGGTAGAAAAATCAGCCTTTAAAAAAACAAAAATTCAACAGACGAGTGCTATTTTCACATTGTAGGCTCCAGCACATTCGTGGTCATAAAGAGGTCTAATGTGTTTAAACCAATATTTTTAAAAATAAAATAATAAAGAACATCGAAGTTGTAAGGTTAAGCACTGTTTTATATTAATAAAACTTGTTTCATTTATATACACTCACACTGGAGTTTATGGAGTTGAGGCAGAGAATAAATTAGTTATTGAGGACTGCAGTAAAAGAAAAAAAAGTTTAAAGAAACTCAGTGTTAAGGATGTGTGCTTGAAACCAAAAATCTGGAGTGTTGCAAACGGATGAAAGGCACTGGGTAGCTGCCTCATAAAATATATTTTAAGCCAATATAATAAAAAGATCAGAAGACTAAATAATGTTATCCACATTGACTTAAAAAATTAACTGTGGCTTGGAAATACCAAGAAGGAACTAAAAATCTCAATTGACATAGCATCGTCAATATGCATGCTATTTCACAATGAGAGGAGCATGATGCCTTCACTGGGTAGTCTCCATGAAGTCAGGCATCATTTGGAAAAAGTAGAAATGAGGGTAAATCAGAGCTGAAGAAAAAGCAATAGACTATTCTGTAATTACAAAGGCCTTACAAAGTATATGAAAGAAAAAAGATAAACATCTTATGGTAAGTGAGGATGTGGGTGGTGAAAAGTAAGATACAGGAGTCGTGAGTCAAGCCACTGGAATGATCATGCCATCTCTGGGTGAAATGAAGTTAGAATACCTCTCTTGCCTTCAATTTTTCACAAATGAATGGTTTCACTAGTGAACCTCCAAAGTGAGAAAGGGATCCCGAGAAGGCTAGGGCTGGAAGATATTCCTGATTGTTTTTAAGGCTTTGTTATCTTAATCTAGGAAAGTATTATTTTTCCTATTTAACAGATAGATTAAGTCACACCGTTACTCTGGCTAATGAAAACATGTTACATTTCTCACTAGAGGTTAAGAGGAAAGACAGTCTGATAACATCTGCCCAGTAAGTAATGAAGATTAATATTCAAAATTCAGGGAACAACTCCTATATCTAATATTTAAACAGTATTTAGCACATTTATTTCTCTGTATGGAGATGAGATTAAGAGATCAGGTGACAGTCTTTCAAGAAATGTAGAAAATTCCTGGTTGAATTAATAATTACGTACTGTTATGCTGTGGTTGGCTTTTTAGCTTTCCATCTAATCTTAAAAAGAAGAAGAAAAAACCCACTATATGTTGCATAAGGCATTTTAAGATAAACGTGCAACTTAAAATATATTTTTAAAATATGCAGAGATAGAACAAAACAAATCTAGTGGAATTATTATTATTAGAAACTCCTCTGTAAAAATATTGGCTAAAGCAATACATAAAAAAAGATTCTCGGTACAAACTGCTCGGAAAGTTTAACATGCGCTAGACTTCAAATATTAAAAGTTAAATTTAAAAAAATCTGATGGCAGGGTGTGACTTTAACCTCATGGATTTTAGCCACAAACTCAAAGAAAAAATATATACAATAAAAGAAGCAACAGATTTTCCCACAAGCAGAGATTTTTCTAATTAAAATGCTGTCACTTTAATATTTTTTAGCTATAGAATTTGAGTGTAAATGTCTTCATTATGTACTGTAACTTCTCTAGCAAGTTATGTTAACTTAATAACGTTTTCAGAATCGGAAATATTGGTAACTCGATGGGATTCTTAAAACAGAAATAGTTTCTTTGATGAGTTGGAAAGAGAAGGAAATAAAAGTCTAAGGTAAGCGCCAGTTTCACCCTCAATTCTTAGGCTTCAGAAAAGCCTAATTAGGCAGGGAAAGGAATTTGGGCCTGGCACACCCAAGCTTAGACGTGGCAGGATCCTGAAACAATTTTTTTTTTGAACCTTTGAGTCATATGCCACAGGCAAACCATAACCGCGATATACAGGTCCTTAAGTCAACAGGTCCTCTAAAGAGATGGTGTGTGGTTGGTGCGTGGCAGTTGGATTTCCTCCCGCCACGGAAGAAAAGAACTCTTCTCCATTGGACAGGAAAGTGGGCCCAACTCTGGCTTGGAGAGCGCACCCGGAAAAGTGCAGAGTCGAAACAGAGAGAGAGGGGTGTCTGCGTCCCGGCCACAGAGCCCTTTCCAAACCACTCGGAAACCATTTAAATGGCTCGGCGGCCACGGTTTGCTGCCTAGAACGTTTGGGGTCCCCGGCTGGGAAAGTTGCCTGGCAAAGCCATGCCCTTCGCCGTCGCGGGATGCCCTCTCGGGCAGAGAGGCTGGAGGAGACAGGCAACCTGTTAGCCGCAGTGGAAGCGCGCCCGCCTCCCGCCGGGCCCTCTCTCTCAGGGTCCCCACGCTGCGGCCCTCCCAGGGGCAAGTCCGGGGCCACTAGGTCTTTGATCTCGGTCCAGCTCCTCTGGGGCCGCCCCATAAGGACTGGCGGGGCACCGTGGGCGAGAGGGTGTGACTGGGCTCCCCCCGGGGCGCCACCTGCCCCTTGGCCCGGGGAGCCCCTTTCGGGGTCTCTCCAGGGGCAACCGAAACACTGCTCTCGAGACCGACTCCAACCGGCCACCTGGACCGTAGCCCTGTCCCCAACACGTGAGCCCCCGCGGCTGTCCTCCCGCCTGCTCTAACGCAGCCCAGGGGTACCGCATCTCCCTCTGCCTGTCGCCGGCTTACCTGACGGGTGGGCTGGGCAGGGCAGGGCAGGGCAGCGCGGCGGGAAGCGGCGGCCGGGCGGGCGCTGGACGTGGGCTGGGCTCCAGGTGCAGGTGGCTGCCGCTGCGACTCCGGTTGCTGTCGCTACAGTTGCGGCTAAGTAGAGCTCCTCCTCCGCCGCCGCCTCCTGCCTTCCCGCTGGGCCTCCCGCGTTGCCTGGAGAGGCAGAACCGCGGCTCGGCTTCCTCTTGGAGTCTCCCAGGTGAGCTCCGGTCTGCGACGTCGGCAGGGGCGAGGCCCCGCTCCCGCGCCTGCGCGCCAGCCTCCCGCCCCGCCCCAGCACTACCTGAGCGCTCCAGGTGAGAACCGTTGACCGCGCGCGCGGGGTAGGGGCGCCGTCCGGGCCAAGCCTGGCTGTTGCGCGGCTTCTCTCTGCGCGGTCGGCGAGGCTGCTGCTCCGCGCAAGTTGTGGCTTCCGGCCGGTCTACATTGAAGGAATCCTGCACTGACCTGGTGGCAGTGATCACCTTGTAGCCAGAGCAGTCTGCTGGGTCCTTGGGGAAACAGAAGTTCTAGATTTCCCCCACACGCTTCCTCCCTTCCTCCTCGGTTCGCCAAAATGAAGGGGTGCGCTGCCTCCGAGGACCACTTCGGGAGGGCAGCAACTGCTGGCTCATGTGGTTTCCTCGGGCAGGGTTCAGCAGCTTCTGTCACCAGTTAGGTTTCGTGAGCTTCCTTCCCGTGTAGTCTTGATTTCATCACTTGACTCACTTCAGCGCAGCTAGTGGTTTCCGTTTCTGTACGCGGGCGCTCTGGTAGGGGCGCCTCACGTCCAAAGGAGGAGTCTCCTCCCAAAGAAGAGCCTTTGGTATTTGGCAGAGCCTCGCCAATTTGGGGCGCACCTCCCCTCCCTGGGATGCTCTCAGAAGGCAAACCAATTCCCAGAGGGAAAAACAGCCACAACAGAGAGAACCCTTGCTGTTCCTGTTTGGAAAAAGATTGGGATTTCCTGGAGAAGGCTTGCTTCTACTGTAGGTTCGTTTAAAAACTCCACATCTATTCTGGAAGGGGACAACGCAGACTCCAGGAAGATGGTGGGGTTTGCTGTTTTTAAGACAAAAAAAAAAAATTGTTAAACAGTGTTTGTTCCGTTTATGACACAACTTTCTGTTTCAGCCTTCCTTCTGCTGCTGTAACAAACATTGACACTCCCAAAACCAGGACTTAAAATGACCTTTATACCTTTCCGTGAACTCATTTCTTTGGCTCTATCCCAAAGATATGTAGGGATATAAATCGAAAACTAGCTAAAAACTCTTTGGTGGCATGTTTAATCATATGGTGGCAGATTTTACTATGAAGTTTAGTTGTGGTCTTCCTCCTACATTTTGACATGCTCTTATGGTGCTTATTTACTGTTTTATTAGTGCTACGCGTGACCTAAAAATAAGGTTTAAAATACAGGTTAGTGTAGTATCAACAAGTGTATCTTTAGTACTTGACTAGTCTAAGACATTGGTTTTAGCATCCATAGTACTATTTTATACTATGACACCTATGAGTTAGGTTTAAGACATTAGTAAACTAGGTAGTTCTATGCTTGTTTTACATGATGTGCTTATTTTGCAAGCACCAAGGAACCTTCGTCTATTTGCAACATTTTAGTATCAGTACCTACAAGCAGTTGCCAAGCTCCCTTTCCCTCCAAAAACAAACAAAAAATAGTTGAGGAGATACTTGTGTGTATTGATATACTAACTCGGTAGTGTTTTTCCTTAGGTCCAGGTCCAGAACTGAAAATACTAACTACTCAAATTCTCTTCTCCTTCTCCTTCTTCTTCTTCTTCTTCTTCGTTGTGCCACTTTGTCGTTTACCCCTAACTGGTGGTTAATGTCAGTCTTTGGAAAATTTGTAAGGTATCCTAAATGTATAACCAAGAAACCTGTATCCTTTTTCACACACTACCCATCTCTGAATGAAACAGGAGTCAAAGATTGTGAGAGTTTTGATGTCCCACCAAACGAAGAGCAACACTTTTCACTGACAATCAGGACAGAGCAGATGGATATAAAATAGCAATCTGGAATCCAAAGACTGAGACGCATTGACAGCAAGACTAGTAACGTCAAATAACAACTGAAAAGAGAAGATAGGGCAGACCTATAAAAAGAGAGAGCCAACAAACAGGACCAAAATGCTGGATGAGGAGTATAAAAAGAACAGAAGAAACATAAAAATGATCAGGAGTTACTAAAATTTGACTGTCAGTTTTACAATGGAGACGAACAATTTAAAGAAGGAAGCAGTTTTTCTGAGTGTGGCATTACTTGTGCATGTTGAGTGTCACATATATATACATATATATATATAGAGAGAGAGAGAGAGAGATAGATCTTGGGGATGAGACCCAAGTCTAAACACATAATTCATTTATGTTTCATATATACCTTATACACATAGCCTTAAGGTAATTTTATAAAACATTGTAAATAGTTTGATGCACGAAACAAAGTTTGTGTAAAATACTTATGTGTGGAATTTTCAACTTGTGGTGTCATGTTGGTGCTCAAAAAGTTTTGAATTTTGAAACATTTCAGATTTTGGATCTATGGATTAGGGATGCTGCATCTGTACTATTTTACACAACATTACTTGTACTATTTCATAGCATTCTGAAAGCAAAGCCTTATTATTAATAAAAACTTTTCTGTCACAATAAAATGATGCCACAGGCCCAAGAAAAAAAATTATCATATTGAAATGTTTAATGCCCCAAATCTAATCAGAGGCAGGTTTTTGAAAGTACCATCCTATTCAAAATTATGAAATAAATAATTTATTTCATAAACAGAAGTTAGCATTTCATCATAAAATAAAACCCAGGAACCTTAATGTAGACATGCTTCTCAGAAATAAGCTAATTTTAATAGCATATGTTTGACATATAATGACAGTTAAGATAGAAAATTGGGCAGATTTTACACAGGAAGGAAACAAACATTCTCTATCTCTCTCACACACACACATACACACACTTATTACACACACACACACACACACACACACACGACTAGCCACAAAATGGTCATTTGTATGGATTTGAAACAATACTTACTCCTTAATACTTTCTGTTAACATTTAATGCCAAGATCATCAGCACCTGGCACTTAGTAGGTACTTAATAAATATGTGTTAAATGAATAAATTGACCCATCAAGTACCATAAAAAAATATACCTAGTGTCTTGAGCAATTTACAGGTCTAAAGAATGGTTTTACCCAACAGTAAGGAGAAATAATCCAAGGCGGGGTAAGAACACTAGACTGGTAATCTGAATTACAAAATTCTAAGAACAATAGATACCAGCTTTCACGTATCTACATTTCAAAAGACACTACGCAAAACAATTTACACTCCTACAAGTTACTTTATGTCTGGCTTCAATATTCTCTTCCACAAAACAAAATAGTGGTAGAAGATGATCTCCAGGCTTCTTTACATTCTGATTCAAATAAACTCCATGCCAAGAGAATTGGGCAAATAAATAAACAAATAAAACCTTCTGGATATAGCAATAATAATTAATGGGACAACAAAGATGAAGAAACTGAAATTATTTAACTGAGATCAAAATTTTAATTCATAAATAATAGTTGTAATATATAATGTAATAAGTAAATGTGTAAAGTTACTAAGCCCAACTTTAAACTATTTCAGTTTGTTAATTGTTTAATTGTTGGTTACACAACTTTGCTTTGAAACATACTCTAGAAAGAGTTTTGCCTCATGAGGGAACTAGAGTTTTTAGTGAGGATCTCAAAGTCAGACTCAGAGATTTGGCTCAAAGACTGAACAGATTGGAATAATTTCTTCTCAAAGCAGTAATAAGCATAGAAATGTTACTGATTCAAGCAGAGAGTAGAGGTAGTATCACAGTGAAGAGCCACAAATATGTGGGTATTTTTAAAATAATGATGCAACATAATTCTACATTGTGTTTAAAATACTGCAAGAGTTAAAACAGTGAAAATATAAATAGGTTATTTTAGTATGAACTTTTTTGGACATTGTTTTCTATGATCCTTCCCCCTGTAGAATCTCAGAACAATCATCTCAGATTTTCAAAGTGGTACACATACTATGAGGGGTTGACTTAGATTACAACAAAACTATGTCTTGCTAATCTTGTATTCTTAGTACTTGGCACATAGTAGGCACTCAATAAATATTTGATGAAATGTATTGAATAGAGTGCATTGTTTCAAGCTTTTAAGCATTAGCCTAAGAGCAAAAAGAAATGTCATGCTGAGTCAGAATAATATTCAATCTAACTGGCTCTAAATTCTGACAGTGGCACCAAAGAATATTTTGTGGGAAACCATGGTGATAGTCTTGCATGATGTTGACCTCAGTGATGTACTCGGGTATCCCTCACTGACTCCTTTCCTAAATTGATTTCTCTTTTTCTGTAACATGCTTCTTTAAATTGAAAAGAAATTAATATTCTTTACAGAAAAATCAGAAAATACACATAATGCAAAGAAATTAGCTTTGAAATACTCAGAATTCCTTATACTGAGATGAATCAGTGCTCTCAGACCCTTTCTATCATGTATCTTTCCAGATTTTTTTTATTGAAAAAATTAGCCGGAGGTGCGGCATGGAATGGGGAACATAGAGGGATACAGAGACAGGTTTGTAAAATAAACCAGAATAGATCATTCTGGGGACTTGTTTTGTAGCCAAAGTTTTCTACTTAACATATAATTAAATGTCAACAAATTTATTTTACAGTGTTATTTTAATGACTGCCTGATACCCCTTTGTAAGGATTTATTTAATCTGTCACTTACTGTTGGACAATGAAGATTGCTCCCAAATTTTGCTATTGCAAGCAGTGCTATAATGGTCATACGCTTCATCTGTTGAAACATTTATGATGATTTTCTTGTAATTGACTTTTATTTTGTTTTTGTTTTTTTGTTTTTTTGTTTTTTTTTTTTTTTTTGAGGCGGAGTCTGGCTCTCTTGCCCAGGCTGGAGTGCAGTGGCCGGATCTCAGCTCACTGCAAGCTCCGCCTCCTGGGTTCACGCCATTCTCCTGCCTCAGCCTCCCGAGTAGCCGGGACCACAGGTGCCCGCCACCTCGCCCGGCTAGTTTTTTGTATTTTTAGCCAGGATGGTCTCAATCTCCTGACCTCGTGATCTGCCCGTCTCGGCCTCCCAAAGTGCTGGGATTACAGGCTTGAGCCACCGCGCCCAGCCTTGTTTTTGTTTTATACAGAGATGGGGTCTCACTGTGTTGCCCAGGCTGCAATTGAACTCCTGAACTCAAGCAATCCTCCTGTTTTGGCCTCCCAAAGTGCTGGGATTACACGCATGAGCCACCAGGCCAGGGATATTTTTGTCTTTTGAGACAGGGTCTTCTTCTGTTGCCCAGGCTGGATCACAGTGGTGTAATCATGGCTCACTGCAGCCTCAACCTCCCAGGCTCAAGTGATCCTCCCACCTCAGCCTCCTGAATAGCTGGGACTACAGGCATGTTACCTCATGTCTGGCTTTTTTTTTTTTCTTTTTGAGAGATGAGGTCTTACTGTGTTGCCCAGGCTGTTCTCGAACTCCTAGACTCAAGCAATCATCCCTCTTCAGCCTCCTGTAGTGCTGGGCTTATAGGCAGGAGTCACCATGCCCAGCCCTGACTTTTGTTAAGCCACTTTGTGTCAATTATCCAGATCCTAAACCATGACAATATTATTAGAGGCATCATATCACAAAAACAAGAGGTAGAATACATATTAACAATTTACCATTTTCTATTGGTATGAAAAATAATAAGAATATTAATTCTAGCTACCAGACCTTCATACAAAGAATGTTCTTTTCAATGAAAACCTTATAATTTTAGAAATAAGGAAATAGAATACCCCACTTATTTTAAAAAACTCAGATCTCTTATTTTCCTCTGATCATACCACAGTCAGTTTCCCACCTGTGAAAATCTTTGTATCTTCTAATATGATTTTCTTCCCCCTTTCCAAATCCCCTCCAGCCCAACTGAAGACCCTAGTCTCCCATGGAGCCTTGACATGGTTTGGCTGTGTCCCCATCCAAATCTCACCTTGAATTATAATAGTCCCCACATCTCAGAGACTGGACCAGATGACTGAATCATTGGGGTGCTTTCCCTCATACTGCTCTTGTGG